GCGTTACTGTCCTCCGACAGTTCTTGTTAATGTCTGAAATTCATTATTATAATTGTGTAATATTCTTTTTTCTCCTTATTTCTTTATTTAACAAAAATGCTTACATGTTTGATGTATCTTTACAAAACTATATGATAATCAGCTTCAAACAAACAGCCATATTAGCCAAATTTGTATTTGTAATCAATTTGTAAGGAAACAGACATTCCCTTGCCAAAGAGAACAGATAGATTTTCATGTTTTGAGGGTAAATTTCATGTTTAAAATGAACAGCTAGAGCCTCTCTGTAATAAAATTGTGCACCAGAATTTAGAAAAAGATTGTTTATGAAGATATTATACCATATGAATATTTTCTTAATATTCTATGGAGTAACATTTTTTTTTTTCAAATCGAAGTTTATTGAGTCCATTTGTGGAGGAAAGAAAAATAAAAACATAAAAGAGAGAAATGTTAGTTTTTGTAACTGAAGTATTTGTTTTATTATTATTATTATTATTATCATTTGTTGCATTAAAAGCCTTGCATTAGAGGCCTTTCAGATTGTTACAAGTGTAAAAAAAACAATTTCTGACACCAATCTTTTACTTCAAAATGGCAAATGATTCATCGCAATGGCTAGACAGAGAAACATTAATTTTTGTCTTAAACAAATGCACAAATTAATTTGGTGGATAACTACATGTAGTAAGTGGAATTATTTAAATGAGCATGCTATGTACTGTTTGTTTTTATTACCTTGAACTTTCTAGGAATTGAGGTGTTTGCATACTTGGTTAAGATTTTGTATGCAGCTTCATTATTTAGTTCATTAAATGTACTTCATTTATGACAGGAAAGTATTTTAAATACTTTACATGTCTTACAGATCAATATTGTAGGTCAATTTTTCTGAATTACACCCCGCAATGTACTTATATGAATAAATATTCCTGTTAAAATTGTCCCAGCAAATTCTATCCTTAAAACCACTTGAATACTTCACATCATATTTGTAAGTACTCTCAACATGTATGTCATAGAATTATAGCATAGACTTAATGCATTATTCCCATTAATCAGAACAAAGGAATTTTTTTTTTTTTTACATTTTTTTTCAACAGATAAATGCGTTAAAACATGATTATTATTTTTTTTTAGAAATGTATTAAGATGCCTTCATAATTATATTATTTTAATGCCGAGAATAAATAATATAAATGACAATGAAAAAATTGTGTTATATTTTAACTTTCAAGAACCAAAGGTCCATGGTGAGTTGTTTATGTAAAGACTGTGTTTTTCAATGGACCTCATGATCGCATAAAGGAAGATTTATCATTTAACATGACAAAGGTTAATTATTCAGATTCGTCTTTTGCGAGGAAAAATTTGGAGCTATTATGATCGCCATTATCATCATGCAAAACTTTCATGTAGCCCATTATTAAAAAATTTGAATGTTTTAATAACATTAAATTTGAAATACTTTCTTATCCTAAGGGGAATTGCTATCAAAAGGGTTTAGTTCTGAAAGCTATATTTTTGGAGTTATGCCCCTTTTTAACCCTTTACCTCATACATACGCGAAACAACGCACTTTCACCCCCCCCCCCCCCCCACACACCACTCTTTTAGGCCTCAAATAGTGAAAAATGTCCTTTTTGGGCCCCAAACACATGTTTTTGTTTGAGAAATGTTGCTAAAAAAAGTGAGCACTTTTTCGGCACTGCCCCCCCATCCAAAAGATACATCAGGGGGTTGCCAGAAGGGAGATGTGCCCCCTTCTGTTACGGGGGGTTTGAAGGGGGGTGGTAGTCCCCCTCATCACCAAGAAAATTTTAGACTTATGAGAGGCTAAAAATGACCCTAGGTCGATCATAAGGTAACGTGTAACCAACGCTGAAAAGCCTTTGACTCTATCTCAATCCCTTGAGGAGCAGCACTTTGAAATAAATTTTGATGGAAAAAATCAAGGCAAAAAAGTGATTTTTGGCAATTTTGAGCTGTCCCCTCGTTGCCATGTTTACAGGAAATTTAAGACTGAGCATGTCTTTACAAAGGCAATGGTCAAGTCAACATTTGTGCCAAGTTTGATTAGTATTGAAGCATTTTTGGGCCCCCATTTTAGTGGCGGGCATTTAGATTTACCCTTGTCCGTCTGTCCGTTCAATCTCTTTTGTGTCGCACGTAACTCAAAAAGTATTTGACCTAGAGTCATGAAACTTTACAGGAATGTTGATCACCATGTGTTGTTGTGCACCTAGGTATTTTCGTCTGGATATTTTTAGAGTTATTGCCCTTGAAGTAGTAAAATTTTGCAATTTTCAACTTGTGTCGCATGTAACTCAAAAAGTATTTGACCTAGAGTCATGAAACTTTACAGGAATGTTGATCAGCATGTGTAGTTGTGCACCTGGGTATTTTCGTCTGGATATTTTTTAGTATTTTTAGAGTTATTGCCCTTGACTTAGTAAAATTTTGCAATTTTCAACTTGTGTCGCATGTAACTCAAAAAGGATTTGACATAGAGTCATGAAACTTTACAGGAATATTGATCAGCATGTGTAGTTGTGCACCTGGGTATTTTCGTCTGGATTTATTTAGTATTTTTAGAGTTATTGCCCTTGACTTAGAAAATTTTTGCAATTTTCAACTTGTGTCGCATGTAACTCAAAAAGGATTTGACATAGAGTCATTAAACCTTACGGGAAGGTTGCTCAGCATATTTAGTTTTGCACCTGGGGTTTCGCTTGTGGATTTATCCAGTATTTGTAGAGTTATTTCCCTTGACTTAGTAAAAACCGTTTCATTATGTTGTTATTTGTTCCTTGAGTGCTTGAGTTAGAATCAACCAACTTTACAGGAATAATGATCAACATCACTAAATTACAGGAATAATGATTCACATCACTGTGAAGCTATGCACCTGGGACTTTGCATGTGGATTTTTTTCAGTTTTGTTAGAGTTATTGCTCTTGACTTACAGTAGTATAAATTTGCAATTTTCAACTTGTTCATGCATCATAAGCTCAAAAAGTATTTCACTTGTAGGCCTGAAAGTTTACAAGAATGTTAGTCAGCATGTGTACTTATGCACCTTGGGGTTTGCTTGTGGATTTATTCAGTATTTGTAAAGTTCTTGCCCTTAACTTAGTAAAAGATTTTTAGTTTTCAAAAAATATATGACCTAGAGTCATAAGATTGACAGAACAGTGGCGCGGTCAGGGGGCACCCGTGTCCTATGGACACATTTCTAGTTCATAGTTTCATAGCAGTTTGAACTTGTAACAGAAGGCTTTTCAATGAAAAGGGCCATTTTTCACAATATGCTCATGAGGGAAAGGGTTAACTTAGAACTTTTTGACAAATTTGGTTATTTATTGTCATTGCCCTTAACAGACGAGTGTGAACAAGAAATGCAGGCTAACTAGTTTCACCATAGTTAAAATTATGGCTTTGGGCAGAATCTTACTTTACTAAGATGATGCCTAAACTTAAAAAGGGCCAGACCTCAACAACCAACAAGAGTATAATGATATTATCATGCCCTCATTCACTATGTATAAATGAATATCAACATGTTAAATTTAATAGTTTTTGTATTGAATTACCGGTAGTGTACATCAAGAACTACAGACACTCGTATTAGCTAATGTAAAGCAATTTCTGCCCCATCCCAAAAGATGTATTGTGTAAATGTTGCTCATATGTAAAATGTAATTATTATGATGAACAAGCAAATATCATAGTATTGCAAGCAGTCCATAAGTCTTCTACCGGTTAGAACCCCAACAACATTCTGATGGGCCATTGGTCATTGAATTATGCCATTGAATGAATGAATGAATGAACTTAAATCTTTTGAGTTCTTAGTTTGTCTATATCATAGTTATGTGTTTCCCTGCCTACCTAGGAAATTATGTTTATACAACAGATAATCAAAAGATCCAATTTTCTCAGGATGAATATATATAACTAATGTGTAAACTTTTCTCTATTTTAAGTAAACTTGTTGGACAAGATCTTTAAAAGTGATCTCAGGATACAGTTTTTAAGAATGGACAGACAGACAGACTGAAAGACACTTTGAGTGTAGATCTTTTATAGACAAATTATCTAAAGTTTAAAAAAAATATTTATAGTCAAAAGAAAAGAAGAAAAGGGAAAAAATAACAATTTTTAAATATATCATTTATAGTAACACAGAAGAAAATTTTTAAAAAAATAAATAAATAAATTTCAAGCTCAAAATGGTAACCCATGACTTATAAATCTAATCACACATGATGTAGATGTTGGTTTAAACATATTTATTTAAGCTCTATTGCGAAACAAGTTTTTGCAACCTTTATTAAATTTAGAGTCCGCTTCCTGAAACCAATCAGTACTGGTGTCATATGAAGAAACATGGTCGTGACCCGATTAGGGCTCAAACATATGATATCTTGGTTGAGAGGCAGACACCTTAACCACTAGGCCACTTGGGATCCAGTTTTGTGGCCTGATGGGCTGACATGGTAAACCTTTAGTTCCCTCTGGTCAAACAGGTAGGGTCAACTAATAAATGTTTAATATACACTTATAAATGAAATATTGATGAAATAAAATGCATATTTACATTTTCCATATTTTCACTTAAAATTTATTTTTCACTGCAGTGAAACATATTTTCTATATTTTCACTGGTGTCTTGCAGGACTACTTTCTTCTAAATTCAGGCAATACACAAAATCAAGGGAAAGTCTTTCAAATTGTAATGTCTAAAAAGAGAAAAATGTATATAATAAACAGAAAATTCAAGTTTTTTTCTATAAATGTGATTTATTTTCATCTTGTGGAATGAATATTATCATATATCACTCATGACCACCACCACAAATGAAATATTTATTTTCATACCACTTGATGGGAATAAATCTTGTATTTATAGAAAAAAAACTTTAATATCCTCTATTCATACTAGGTACTGGATGTTAACTGCAAAAACACTTGATATTTCAGCTGATATAAAGTGTTGTTTTCCTGTCTTTCTCCAATTATCAGTACATGATAACTTTGCATCAAATATAATGGTTGCTTATCAGAAGAATTTAATGAATATGTTCGTAATTTTGTTGATGGTTTCTTATTTAACTTTTGGATATGTGTCCTTATCTACTGGTGGAAATGACTGCATGCAATATCGGATGATAGAAAAACTGACATATCTTGAAAATGAAAATTCGAAACTTATGGATAGAATTTCCCGGCTAGAGCAACAGATGCAACCAGTCGTTTCAGTTTATGTGCGATTGTCTAAAACAGTTAATCTTAAATTGCATGAAAGAGTAATGTATGACATGGAAATCACCAACATTGGCGGGGCATTTAATTTCAAAACGGGACAGTTGACGGCTCCAGTATCTGGTATTTACTTCATTAGTGTTTCAGCATGTCTTTCCCATGCTCAATACAGTAACCTAGACATTATCAAAGATGGACTTAAGATCGGAGTTGTTAGATCAGGAGATGTGGAATGGGTTGATTGTTCATCTGGTATTATGTTATATTTGATATTGATCGGTTGACATTTCTGATTGATAAATTATGGAGTTTATAGTGATTATTTTTTAATTCTGTACATTTCTGAAATTTTTGCTCTCATTGCATTTAATTTAATTTAATGTTGAATTCCAAGGAACAGAAAATTTCTATCAGATATGGAATTTTGTTCTATTTTTGTACTTTTCAGCTAAATTATGTGACACAATCTTAATTAAGTAACCTTATGACCTTAAATTTGAGCCGCGTCGCGACGAAACCAACATAATGGGTTTGCGACCAGCATGGATCCAGACCAGCCTGCTCATCAGTCTGCGCAGTCTGATCAGGATCCATGCTGTTCGATATCAGTTTCTCTACTTGTTATACAGTTTGTAAGCGAACAGCATGGATCCTGACTGGTCTGGATCCATGCTTGTCGCAAACGCATTATGTTGGTTTTGTTGTGACGTGGCTCAATTTTGTTAATTCCAGCTTCTTTAAGTACTCATTTCAACTATGAAGATAATATCTGGATAGAAAGCGGTACACCTTCAAATGATGGATCCAAGTTATATGAGGGACGTGGATGGAACACATTTACAGCAACACTCATACATGTAGACTAAACTAAAATTGATAAAAACAAAATAAAGAAAAGCCGGGAATCCCTACAAATCGTAAAATAAGTTATTCTTGGACAGACTACATTTCAATGACAAAATGTTTCCAGTGCAAAATATGCTATATTAAGCATAATATAACTTTTTCTCATTGTTCAGTGTGTGTGTTTTTATTTTCTAGATCTTCCTTTTTCAAAAGTTCTGAAGACCTTGGGTGCCCCTTTGTGTGTTTATCAGGCAAAAACAGGCACCCGAGTAGAACCTCCGGCATTTCATAAGCTAGCTGGACTAAGCTTTCTCGCATGAAAGAACCAAAGATGCTTGCGAGGCTCGAACCTGCACTGTGAGAAGCAAGTGGCCTGAAGTCAACAACCTTAACCACTCGGCCATGGACGCCCCTGACTGTTGTCGTAATTGTTTGCAGGTACTCAGGTCACACTTACTTCATCCTTTGTTTCTATCATCAGTAAGTTTTCCTCTTTGTTCATGTCATTTAGCACCATGAGCCACTCTAAAGCTCTCCAAAACAGAAAAAGGAAACCCTTAAAGATTATCTTTTCATGTATACTTACATCAGATGGGGAGCAGTGTCAGTTGACAGCAACATACTTTTCAACACTCAATAACAAAACAATAAAATAATTTTAGCAAATACAAAAGTTACAATTATCTTCATAACCAGCCAATAGAGCAAATCTTGTTGTTCAAGTCTTTGTAGAAACAAAACCTGGAGACATGGCAAGGGAAGTTAAATTGAAATGAAAAGACAACAACACTTAATTGTAAAACCCTAATTATATTTCCCTAAAAAAACCTAGATAACAGAAAAATACATTAACAAATATAAACATTAAACATAAAAAAAACATGTTTAAACACAGTGTTACAAGAATAGAAAAAAATATTATTCGCAATGGAAAAAAGTTAATTTAGTAGCAATAAATGTCCAAAAATAGTTTAGGTTAGTTAATCAAGATGTTAAAATAATGCTGCAAGTTTTGTTACATAATGTAGCAATGGTTTACTGTTGTTAGTTATGTACCATATACATGAATCCACACATGTACCATATATCTCTTATCATTATACAAAATACATATGCTAACAAACTTTTGACTTTCTGTATTAAAGGAACTCCCCTGAGGTCCCAAAGCCTTCAAAATATAAAACTTGAATTTCTTACATAGATCAGCTGGGGTATTTAAAACAGAAAGATATGCAAAAAGATAATTAAGAGTTATTCTCTGTATAAATTGAAAATCATATTTTTTGGACCATTTTTTCACAATAAGAATAACTATTCTGGAAAAACAGAATAAGCAAATGATCTGAACGTTTGCACACAAGTTATTGGTCTTAACCTACATAAAACCGAACATTTATCCTGAAAAGTTATTTCCAGTCCTGGCATGTCAAGAAACCTTAGTGGAGTCCCTTTAATAAAATCAGTAATTTATATGTATGCTTACACATATTACAAAATGATTTTTCAATGTAAAAATATATAATGTAATACTAACTGTTGATCATTTTCATTATTGACTTGGATCACAATCATCAGGAATGTTATTATGCCAAGTTAAAGATCACATATTTTTGGCATAGAAATATGAAAATTAAATTTTTTTAGGGTACATAAAAATAAACACATCACTTTATAATAGAGAATGATATTTGTCCAACCATTATATCATTGATGAATCTTGTCACATAGTCATATACAATGTTAAATTTAATGAGATCCTTCCAAAGATATTTGAAAAGATGAAATTTTTTTTTAATGAAGTTGCTGAGAAAATGGTCTGTTCATTAAGTCATGTTAAAAGATCACATAAAGAATGCCTTCATCTAATAATTTTCAATGACTCGACAAATGTATTCAGCAAAAAAACAAATTCAGGACGGATAAAAATCAATATAACATAATGAGTAGAAAAGAAAACTACTGTATTCAATACAAATAATACAAAATAAAAGAATACAAGAATATGGCATCAGAAAACATAAAGGCCCCCTCATAAATATAAATGTCTGTTCTGGTTTTCCTCCCATGATTATAGAATAAAAAGAAAACCAAAATAAATAATTTTTTTTTTCTAAATTTCCTTTAAAAATTGTCAAAAACTTTTAAATTTCCATTTTTCTTACTTTATTGGCATGCTTTTTAAAAAACAAAAAAAAATGTCCCCTATAAATGTTGCTTGAGCCTTTGCCACCAGTTACATATGTGTGATATACAATATGTATAGTGTCTGAGCCAGGCCATCTATTCTACTCAACCATATATTTTCTGTTATATACATATTTTATTATGTTTCCCATATTTTATTGAAAAATGCTTGGGTGAAAATAAAAGCTATGTCCTGTTTTGTTTTACATACTGTGCAGTCTGGCCTGGCTCTATACTGATAGTAGTTTATTTTTTTGTATTTTGTTAATAAAACCCCTTTAAATTCAAATGGATTGTTCTGAATTCAAAGAAGGGCAAATCCATTCCAAAAAAATCAGTAGGTTAAGATTTCGTCAGAAAACCAAAAACAGACATACCCTGGCCTCACTATAACATAACTTTTATGTTGAATTAAAAAAACAAAAACCAAAAAATTAAAACTAGTACAAAATGGCAGTAGTAACTAATCAGTCTAAGCTTACAAAATGGAGAAATGAAGAAGAAATGAATAATTTTTTTTTTCTTCTTTTTTTTTAGCAGATTTTTATATATTTCTTGTGTTTCTGTTTAAAAATGTATTTTAGTTTTGTTTTATTTGTTTTTAAATTTTCAATTTTGGTTTTTATGTTAATTTTCTCCGATACTGTGAAATTCCTCATACATTAAAAATTAAAGTCAAAATTTATATAACATTAATGATAATAAATGTACACAACTGAGAGAGAATTAATAGCCTCTAAGATTATATTATATTCCATCAGTAAGTTATAAAAGTGAGATCACAGTCATGCTACATCAATGCACAGGAGACAGCTAACTTCCTAAGATATTTCAGTTATATAAGACAGTGCTGGGTTGATTTATTAGTCTTACATTATCTTTATAATACTCAGTTTAACGGCAATTCATTTTTTTCAATTGTGAAAATATAGAAAAAAATAATAACATAATATAAATTACATTATACATTGTAAATATTATAACATATTTTCTACTGTGCTGAAGTAAAACAGTGGTGGAGCTACAATATTCTATGTAAAATACCTGTAATAAATGTTACAGAACTTAAATATAAGTCTGAAAATAAATATTTGGCACTAAGTCATTTAAAATTCCTGCACATTCACACTTTATTCTCTTACCGCACCTACAAATCTGCCATAAGTAGAAAAAATTAATACTATCAGTCTACGGAACTATCGTGTAAACAAAAAAAAATACAATTTAGTATAAATGCTGATTAATTATTATTTCTTTAATCATTTTACAATGACTATTTCGCCCACAGCGTGCTCTGGAAGCGAAAGTAATAATGTACCTTTGCAACCAGTCAGGCTGACTTTCACATCCACACAATCTGACCAGGATCTATTCTATTGGTACCTTAAGTTTCATGTCTTTTCCTTTTTTTACTTAATGATCTAATATCAATGTTCACCTTATTACAGAAAATGTTGAAATGTAGGACAGATTTTTACAAAACACTTGAAATTCTTTATTAACCATGTACTTGCCATTTATATGCTTGTATAATATTCAATTTGATATGGCTATGAATGTTATAACATTAAATGCTTAATAAATATTATGTTACATTTCAATTGAATTGTGTACTTAATTATTGCTAAACGGTTGAAACGCTACTTAAAATAGCAGCATAATGTTGTCTTTTTCGAAAAAATTTATTCTGTTAACTTACAATATTCATGCTTGTTAAATAACAGAAACATGCTTTATTGTTACAACTCTTTCTAGAATCGACCATGAGGTTATGGAAACAGCATAATTATTTTGTTTGTTTTTAAATTCAATGAATCATTAATGAGCCGCGTCACGACAAAACCAACATAATGGGTTTGCGACCAGCATGGATCCAGACCAGCCTGCGCATTTTCGCAGTCTGATCAGGATCAATGCTGTTTGCTTACAAACCCTATTACAAGTACAGAAACTAATATAGCGAACAGCATGGATCCTGCTGGTCGCAAACCCACTATGTTGGTTTTGTCATGACACGGCTCATTTCATTAGATATAGCTTTATACCCTTTAAAGGTTAAGTGAATGTGCAAGATTTTGTATTAAAAAGGACTATTTATAAAACTTATCATAACATACACCATATCTACATTAAATATAATGGAAATGCAAATCAGTCATCACAGTTTAGTTGGCATATCAGAGAAAAAACAACAACATCAATTTCGGTCATTCACAGCAGTTTTTATCCAGACAAATGATCAGAATAAATTGTATGCACCAAGTAATTTTAATAATTTCAGTGAGTCTGAAGTATCGTTTATTTTTTTAAACTACCAATATTCAGAGAATAATTTATTCGGACGACCAGAAAACAACATTAAAGACATGACTACAATTTCATAAATGAAAACAGGAATTGATATTGTTTGCTGTAGTGGGGTGTCTTTCACACTCATACCCTCATCCTGAGATGCTGTTAATTAAAACAAACAAACTTGTTACATCATGTTGAATGAAATGGTTAATCGCCCTGTTTAGTTATGTTATATAGACAAACAAAAACATATATCTTAGTGGCATTTTGAACAATTTTCACAATAAAAGTTCTAGTAAAAACATACTGTTAATTTAATATACCTAAAATGAACAAAAGCACTAAGTCTGTAAATCAAAATATATATAGTTTCATTTAAAATGTGACTATGCTTAGTTTTTTAGGAAGTTTTCTGTCATTATCAAAATGAATTATTAAAAAAACAATAAGATTTTTTTTGGCATGCAGTTGAAAGTACATGTATATAGACAGAATATGGAAATCAATATTTGCATAACTTGCATATTTTACTCTTTTTCTTAGAATTTCACGTTTCTTGTGCATATTTGTGTAAAAAAACATGAGACAAAAAGACAATTGTTACTTTCATGTGACTATGAAATGCCCAGTACATCACACAATAAAAACATTTTTGAAATATTTTCACCATAGCAATAACAATAATGTTGTT